GCACAGAAAATACTTCAATTCAAAACTGAAGCACAGAAAATGCTTCAATTCAAAACTGAAGCTCAGAAAATGCTTCAATTCAAAACTGAAGCACAGAAAATGCTTCAATTCAAAACTGAAGCACAGAAAATGCTTCAATTCAAAACTGAAGCACAGAAAATGCTTCAATTCAAAACTGAAGCACAGAAAATGCTTCAATTCAAAACTGAAGCACAGAAAATGCTTCAATTCAAAACTGAAGCACAGAAAATGCTTCAATTCAAAACTGAAGCACAGAAAATGCTTCAATTCAAAACTGAAGCACAGAAAATGCTTCAATTCAAAACTGAAGCACAGAAAATGCTTCAATTCAAAACTGAAGCACAGAAAATGCTTCAATTCAAAACTGAAGCACAGAAAATGCTTCAATTCAAAACTGAAGCACAGAAAATGCTTCAATTCAAAACTGAAGCACAGAAAATGCTTCAATTCAAATCTGAAGCACAGAAAATGCTTCAATTCAAAACTGAAGCACAGAAAATGCTTCAATTCAAAACTGAAGCACAGAAAATGCTTCAATTCAAAACTTAAGCACAGAAAATGCTTCAATTCAAAACTGAAGCACAGAAAATGCTTCAATTCAAAACTGAAGCTCAGAAAATGCTTCAATTCAAAACTGAAGCACAGAAAATTAAATAAATTTTTTATATTTTCAAGTATATTTTTGTTAACAATTTCCAAAATTGCACAGCGACAGATATTTTATGATAAAATTATGACTATTATAAAAAGAAGTTATTTTCACTAATAAATATGTGATGATTCCACATTATCTGGGATTACAGAAAATGCTTCAATTCAAATCTGAAGCACAGAAAATGCTTCAATTCAAAACTGAAGCACAGAAAATGCTTCAATTCAAAACTGAAGCACAGAAGATGCTTCAATTCAAAACTGAAGCACAGAAAATTAAATAAATTTTTTATATTTTCAAGTATATTTTTGTTAACAATTTCCAAAATTGCACAGCGACAGATATTTTATGATAAAATTATGACTATTATAAAAAGAATTATTTTCACTAATAAATATGTGATGATTCCACATTATCTGGGATTACAGAAAATGCTTCAATTCAAAACTGAAGCACAGAAAATGCTTCAATTCAAAACTGAAGCTCAGAAAATGCTTCAATTCAAAACTGAAGCACAGAAAATGCTTCAATTCAAAACTGAAGCACAGAAAATGCTTCAATTCAAAACTGAAGCACAGAAAATGCTTCAATTCAAATCTGAAGCACAGAAAATGCTTCAATTCAAAACTGAAGCACAGAAAATGCTTCAATTCAAAACTGAAGCACAGAAAATGCTTCAATTCAAAACTGAAGCTCAGAAAATGCTTCAATTCAAAACTGAAGCACAGAAAATGCTTCAATTCAAAACTGAAGCACAGAAAATGCTTCAATTCAAAACTGAAGCACAGAAAATGCTTCAATTCAAATCTGAAGCACAGAAAATGCTTCAATTCAAAACTGAAGCACAGAAAATGCTTCAATTCAAAACTGAAGCACAGAAAATGCTTCAATTCAAAACTGAAGCACAGAAAATGCTTCAATTTAAAACTGAAGCACAGAAAATGCTTCAATTCAAAACTGAAGCACAGAAAATGCTTCAATTCAAAACTGAAGCACAGAAAATGCTTCAATTCAAAACTGAAGCACAGAAAATGCTTCAATTCAAAACTGAAGCACAGAAAATGCTTCAATTTAAAACTGAAGCACAGAAAATGCTTCAATTTAAAACTGAAGCACAGAAAATGCTTCAATTCAAAACTGAAGCACAGAAAATGCTTCAATTCAAAACTGAAGCACAGAAAATGCTTCAATTCAAATCTGAAGCACAGAAAATGCTTCAATTCAAAACTGAAGCACAGAAAATGCTTCAATTCAAAACTGAAGCACAGAAAATGCTTCAATTCAAAACTTAAGCACAGAAAATGCTTCAATTCAAAACTGAAGCACAGAAAATGCTTCAATTCAAAACTGAAGCACAGAAAATGCTTCAATTCAAAACTGAAGCACAGAAAATGCTTTAATTCAAAACTGAAGCACAGAAAATGATTCAATTCAAAACTGAAGCACGGAAAATGCTTTTATTCAAAACTGAAGCACAGAAAATGCTTCAATTCAAAACTGAAGCACAGAAAATGCTTCAATTCAAAACTTAAGCACAGAAAATGCTTCAATTCAAAACTGAAGCACAGAAAATGCTTCAATTCAAAACTGAAGCACAGAAAATGCTTCAATTCAAAACTGAAGCACAGAAAATGCTTCAATTCAAAACTGAAGCACAGAAAATGCTTCGATTCAAAACTGAAGCACAGAAAATGCTTCAATTAAAACTGAAGCACAGAAAACGCTTCAATTCAAAACTGAAGCACAGAAAATGCTTCAATTCAAAACTGAAGCACAGAAAATGCTTCAATTCAAAACTGAAGCACAGAAAATGCTTCAATTCAAAACTGAAGCACAGAAAATTAAATAAATTTTTTATATTTTCAAGTATATTTTTGTTAACAATTTCCAAAATTGCACAGCGACAGATATTTTATGATAAAATTATGACTATTATAAAAAGAAGTTATTTTCACTAATAAATATGTGATGATTCCACATTATCTGGGATTACAGAAAATGCTTCAATTTAAAACTGAAGCACAGAAAATGCTTCAATTCAAAACTGAAGCACAGAAAATGCTTCAATTCAAATCTGAAGCACAGAAAATGCTTCAATTCAAATCTGAAGCACAGAAAATGCTTCAATTCAAAACTGAAGCACAGAAAATGCTTCAATTCAAAACTGAAGCACAGAAAATGCTTCAATTCAAAACTGAAGCACAGAAAATGCTTCAATTCAAAACTGAAGCACAGAAAATGCTTCAATTCAAAACTGAAGCACAGAAAATGCTTCAATTCAAAACTGAAGCACAGAAAATGCTTCAATTCAAAACTGAAGCACAGAAAATGCTTCAATTCAAATCTGAAGCACAGAAAATGCTTCAATTCAAATCTGAAGCACAGAAAATGCTTCAATTCAAAACTGAAGCACAGAAAATGCTTCAATTCAAAACTGAAGCACAGAAGATGCTTCAATTCAAAACTGAAGCACAGAAAATTAAATAAATTTTTTATATTTTCAAGTATATTTTTGTTAACAATTTCCAAAATTGCACAGCGACAGATATTTTATGATAAAATTATGACTATTATAAAAAGAATTATTTTCACTAATAAATATGTGATGATTCCACATTATCTGGGATTACAGAAAATGCTTCAATTCAAAACTGAAGCACAGAAAATGCTTCAATTCAAAACTGAAGCTCAGAAAATGCTTCAATTCAAAACTGAAGCACAGAAAATGCTTCAATTCAAAACTGAAGCACAGAAAATGCTTCAATTCAAAACTGAAGCACAGAAAATGCTTCAATTCAAATCTGAAGCACAGAAAATGCTTCAATTCAAAACTGAAGCACAGAAAATGCTTCAATTCAAAACTGAAGCACAGAAAATGCTTCAATTCAAAACTGAAGCTCAGAAAATGCTTCAATTCAAAACTGAAGCACAGAAAATGCTTCAATTCAAAACTGAAGCACAGAAAATGCTTCAATTCAAAACTGAAGCACAGAAAATGCTTCAATTCAAATCTGAAGCACAGAAAATGCTTCAATTCAAAACTGAAGCACAGAAAATGCTTCAATTCAAAACTGAAGCACAGAAAATGCTTCAATTCAAAACTGAAGCACAGAAAATGCTTCAATTTAAAACTGAAGCACAGAAAATGCTTCAATTCAAAACTGAAGCACAGAAAATGCTTCAATTCAAAACTGAAGCACAGAAAATGCTTCAATTCAAAACTGAAGCACAGAAAATGCTTCAATTCAAAACTGAAGCACAGAAAATGCTTCAATTTAAAACTGAAGCACAGAAAATGCTTCAATTTAAAACTGAAGCACAGAAAATGCTTCAATTCAAAACTGAAGCACAGAAAATGCTTCAATTCAAAACTGAAGCACAGAAAATGCTTCAATTCAAATCTGAAGCACAGAAAATGCTTCAATTCAAAACTGAAGCACAGAAAATGCTTCAATTCAAAACTGAAGCACAGAAAATGCTTCAATTCAAAACTGAAGCACAGAAAATGCTTCAATTCAAAACTGAAGCACAGAAAATGCTTCAATTCAAAACTGAAGCACAGAAAATGCTTCAATTCAAAACTGAAGCACAGAAAATGCTTCAATTCAAAACTGAAGCACAGAAAATGATTCAATTCAAAACTGAAGCACGGAAAATGCTTTTATTCAAAACTGAAGCACAGAAAATGCTTCAATTCAAAACTGAAGCACAGAAAATGCTTCAATTCAAAACTTAAGCACAGAAAATGCTTCAATTCAAAACTGAAGCACAGAAAATGCTTCAATTCAAAACTGAAGCACAGAAAATGCTTCAATTCAAAACTGAAGCACAGAAAATGCTTCAATTCAAAACTGAAGCACAGAAAATGCTTCGATTCAAAACTGAAGCACAGAAAATGCTTCAATTAAAACTGAAGCACAGAAAACGCTTCAATTCAAAACTGAAGCACAGAAAATGCTTCAATTCAAAACTGAAGCACAGAAAATGCTTCAATTCAAAACTGAAGCACAGAAAATGCTTCAATTCAAAACTGAAGCACAGAAAATGCTTCAATAGTAGTCTATACACGACTTATAAGACAAAACAAGTTTTGTCTTAAAAGCCGCGTAAAAATACAAATCTATAAATTAAAATTAATTTTTAAAAATAAAAATAATGAATAAGATTTTTAAATAAAATTTTTAAACAAATGAAATTCTTAAATAATAAATTTGAAGAAAAAATATTTTAAAGAAAAATAATTAAAGAAAATAAATCTTTTAAATAATTAATTTTTGAATAAAAATTTTTCAAACTTTATTTAAATAAAACTTAAAATTATATGAAATTAATTTTTCTGTTCTTCAAAGTCTACATAGTCTAAGCATTCAATAGGGTAGAAATATTGGTGGTTTCTTCCGCCAAAAACGCATACCAAAGGTAGCTGGGGATAGATGAGATCTATGTGATGCCGAACATAAAAATATTGTCTAATAGTCACACGTAGGTATCCACGCAATGCAAACACACGATCAGCGCCCATAATTGTTAATTTACTTGGATATACTTCAAACTGAATATGACGCAAATGATTTGTAACTAAATACTTCTTTCCAGGTTTTCCATCAGAAAATTCACGTTGTCCAATTCCCGCGGTGGCGATATCTTCATTTGTCATGCTTGTAAGTGTTTGTAGGAATTGTAAATTTTCGTTGTATCTTTTTCTCATTTCGATGTGCAATGATTCAGGTGTACATCCTCCATTGAATTTACAAAGTAACTGAAGAAGAGAACCCGTTTTAAAGGGCGGAGATATTTTGGAAGATTCACTCCTTCCTGACGTGTCGTCGCTTGTTCGCATCTTGATTATCTTCCGCTCTTATTATTTATACCTTATATACTAAGGGGTCCTTTAGCAAACCTAATTCCAGGGAGTTCGACGTTTCCATTTCTTCTTAAATTCACATGCGCTTTAAACACTACAGCCAAAACGAAAATTAGTACCAAATCGAGGACATAAGCTATTAATAGAAACATATCTTTATTAGGATTTTCTGAAGGCCCTATCGAAAGGGCATGAGCCCTATCAACGATAAAGCATGCATTTACATTTGGAGGGATTGGTCCATGAAGAGGATAAAGAATATTACTATTGTTTTGCTCGTAAGCGTAAACCGCATAAAGGCAGAAAATAAGAATAACAAGATACATCATTTTTTATTATAAAATTAAATACTTCTTATCTTATATACTAGGCATCAGCGATAAACGGGTTAGAAAACGTTTTAAAACAAAATCACGCCCCTCTGAAGGGATTGAATGCAACTTTTGAAGAACGGATGAAAAAGTATTACCCTGTTTCGAACGTAGGATGAGGAAGCAAATACAATAATGGCCACAAGTATCTGACAAGGGAGATTGTAAGGAAAATTTATTTTGTTTCACTAAGGGAAAATTTGCAAGCATTGACTGTCTCATGTCACAATTTGGTTCCTCGGCAAATGAGTCAAAATATTCCAATGTATCTGGAGTATCTGAATAGCAGGCAATCCAATGCTCACCAACCGTACCTTTCCGCATCGTGTTTGCAACAAAACAAAAAGGTCTATTCTTTTCAATGTTTGGTATATTATTCGAAGAGAAAACACCTAAAAACTTATTTTTAAGTGAAGGGTAGTGGTATAATATTTTTTCAATTTGAAGTGAATTCATTTTAAACTGATCCGTCAGTACTTAAAACACGATCTGCATTTATGGACAGTATTGCATCGAACTCGCCCATAATTATCATTTCATATCCATCATCCTTTACGGGGTGATTGAAAATACAACGTACAGTCGTTGTTCCTTGTCTGATTAATTCTAGCCCGTTTGTATCTTCAAGAGTTGAAGTCATCGGAATAACAAAGAAACAGGATGATTTCGAAAATTCCTTCATACTAATATCGAGAGTTCTTTGGTCAGTGTTTGGCCAATTATCAAGATCCATACCTACATACATATCAGAATAAGCGCGAACAAAATTGTTATCAGCGAAATCAAGATCATATGAAACAGCGGGGAACTGAAATCCTCCAAATTCTGCCGAAATTGAGCGTATATTTGCATGTTCAAAAGTAAACGGGGACAATGCAGTATTTCCAGTAAAAGCTGGGGAGTTTACAAAACAGATTACTAAACGCCTTGGACACGTACTAGTGAACGTTGCATGCGTAATTTCCTGACGCCCTTTTCCAAGATAAACGCTTCGAATATCTATTTTTCTATACGCATATTTTGCAGGTGCCTGTTCAAGATGTCGAGCGATAGCATTATTCAACGACATACTCAAATCAACCTGTTTAACAAAAACTCTCATGTCATGAAGACGAAGGCGGTATGTATGAGTATTGTCTACTAAAGCGGCAGCGTTACGAAATTTTGGAGTATGGATTAGAAATTCATCTGAATTTTTGTAAATTGTCCAGATCACGTCACTATGTGGAATTAAGAGCTGGTTTTGACGCGCCATATCATAATCTAAATGAGAAAACATTCTACATAATTTACCTTTAGCAAAACGAGAAGCACGAGATTTAAATCCTGATCCATCATAATCATCTTTATCCACAGCGTCCTTATAATAAAGAGCAGCTTCGTAAATGCCTTTACTTACCTCTCGATCTGCGCCAAGTTCATGAAGAATTATACATCTATATGCATAGTGTATACCCGAGTCATAACATTGAACACCATTTATTGAAAGAGTGAGACGGCGAATCCATGTAAGACCTAAATATTGAGCAACGCCTGTATATTTATCTCCTTTAAAATCGACCGCTTCACCGTCTGTAATTGGAACCCACTCCCCGCTCGTTGCATCTTTTCTTTCGATAGATAAAACCAGGCTTAAAAATGTTTTGCTCAAATCAAGATAGAGCGTGTCACCAAAGTAACGAAAAATAAAAGGCCCCGCAGACTGATTAAGAGCATTAAGGGGTAGGAGTTCCTTGTATGCCGAACGCTGAATACCTACATTAGTAGAAGGAATCGAAAAGAAGGTCAGACGATTATCAACACCTTCAGAACTATCTTTGTCAATTTTCTTTATCGTCGTCATTTTTTATTTTAAAAAGTTAAAAATTACTTATATACTCAGAAATCTTCTAAACTTAGCTGATCCCTATATCTTCGACCTTTTTTTCCTAAGTTTTCTTTAATAAGTTTTGGTTTATTCTTTCTTTTACCTTTTCCGCATTGCTGAAGTTTTTTACCAACTTTCTGAAGACCTTCGCTACCATGTTGCTTCAAAGCATCACTAACTGATCGCCCTTGTGAAACATCTTCTAGGATATTTTTCCCGACGTTAACTGCTTCTTGTCCCGCACTAGAAGCCAAATTTTTAACTATAGGCATAAGAAAACGTCCTACAGTACCAAGTACGCCAAAACCTCTTTGATATCTTGTTCCCTGAAAATAGCTATTTGATTCTGGAAGATCTGTTCGTGAGCCGCCATCTTGAGCCGCTAAAAACGGACCCCAGTCTATTTTATCTAAATCTACTGGCACATGCGTCATTTTCAAAATAGAGAGCGTTGAAAATGTAGAGTAAGTATACAGGTTCCCCAATGGAATTTTACTAGTTTTCCTGTTAAGGTTCGAATTTCAATAGTAATGTCTGGATGACGTTTACCTAATAGTCGATGATGATGTTCGGTCATATATACTTCGGAAATACTTTCACCAGGTTTACCTCCAACATTCACAACCCGTAATAACGGGGCTGTTACATTACCTATTATACTATTTTCAACAAGTCTTGGTGCATAAACCAGAAATTGACGCACACCTCCAGATATATCAGGCATATATTTTGCCACTTGTCCACTATGAACTTTCTCAGAATCAAAACCAAGAGTATATGCTAATTGTCGACTTAATTGAATATATTGTACGTTTCCTTGTAAGAAGACATGAAACCTCTTATGCAATTTATCAAGATGTACTGAAACCCATTGATATTTTGGATCGGCGAGTTGTATATTGGAAAAGTTAAGAAGCATTTTTAGATATTCGGGAGGATAGGCATATTTAGCAAAATGCATTTTCTTTACATTAGGATCCGAATCATCAACGTGTATTTTTAACTTTCCTTTGGGAAGTTCTTCTTTCTCCACCTTTTCTTGATTTGGAAGCTCTTGTTTCTTTTTGTCTTCGCTAGATACACCACCATGTCCAAAGAAGCTTTTCAAAAATGAAGGCCTTTCAGAAGGTTCTCCAATTAACATTTCAGGACGTGGAAGAGATGGCAGTGAGCTTGGATATTCACTTTGGATTTTTTGATCCTCCTCAGGATGATTATTGTTTTGTGATAAATTAGCCGTTGAAGGCAAAATACTTTCAGGATCTTCTTCTGTCAATGGAGGTGCCCATTGTTCCTCTTCCTTATCGTTAATTGTTTGAGATTGCTGCAGTGTCTTTTCTTGGTCATCATCCTCAGTGTCCATTTCGTTAATCAGTGGTTCTTCAATATTTTCTTCATCTGGTAATGGAGCTTCCCATTGCTCTTCGTCGTCATCGGTTATTGTTTGTGATTCTTTCGGAGTATCGTCTTCTTCATCAACTTCTTCAATAATTGTTGGTAATTCCTGTTCCTTAATAATATTTTCTTCATCTGGTAAAGGGGATGTCCATTCACCCTCGTCAGTTATTGTTTGTGATTCTTTCGGAGTATCGTCTTCTTCATCAACTTCTTCAATAATTGTTGGTAATTCCTGTTCCTTAATAATATTTTCTTCATCTGGTAAAGGGGATGTCCATTCATCCTCGTCAGTTATTGGTTGTGATTCTTTCGGAGTCATGTCTTCTACCTCTGTTTTTTCTTCTTGTGATTCATATTATTTATGCTGCTCAATATTTTCCTCGGGTAATGGAGGTGTCCATTGCTCTTTGTTGGAGGGAACATCATTTTCATCATACTCCTCAATATTTTCATCGATATTCTCTTCTAGTAATTCTTCATTTTCATCTTCAATAGTTGGAGATTCAGGACTTGTTTCTTTGTCCTGTTTCGCAAGTTCCGCGTCAACTTTACCAATAATTTCTTCTGATAGACGTTTTTGCCCCGCAACAGCTTCTTCAACTTGACTGGCTGCTTCCTTTACCTTGCGTTCTGCGGCCTTAGCACGATCTGCAGATTTTCGTGCATCGGTAACATTACCGCGCGTTTCCGCCGCTTTAGCTTCTAGTTGTGCTTCTGAGGCTCTTTTTCCGTACTCTAAAGATTCCTCTGTCCATTTTTCTATTGCAATTTTACGATTAGTTAACAAAGTCAATTGTGCTTTAACCCAACCAAGAATATTTTCTGGCGTTTTCCTTATATGCACCGTTTCCCCTGTCTCCTTTAATGTTATCACACTATCTTTTAGCGCGTACTTGATACGCGCATTTTGCCAATACTTGTTACCAAGTTCCATATTTATTTGCGCTTGCTCTGCCAACTCTACACTATTCCTCCACGCCCTTGTAGCTGCGCGAACAGCCATGTCCAATAAAGTTTTTTGGTCATTATTTAGGGAGGGCTTTTCAACAGTCTCTTCTACATGTGAAAGGGGTGTTATTTTTCCATCTAAAGGAGTTTTGTCATCATTAGATTCTTGTTGCGAATCATTTGTTTTCTCCAATTCGTTTGAAGTCTCAGGACTAAGAGGAGCTTCTGTTACAGGTATAGTTACAGGAGTTTCCCCTTTTGGAATGTCATCAGTAGATGAAATAGAAGTAGAACTCTGTGTTTTTTCTTTGTTTCCAGCAGGCGTATCTTCTCCAAGATTTTCTTGGTCATTTTCCCTTGTCTGTAAAGGATCAGGTTGTTGAATAGGAGAGGGTTCTATTGAGGGCATAAAACTTTTAATTGCATTTATTATTATACTTTTTTGATCTGTTTGCGGCTTTAATCGAACAACAAGGCCTCCTGATACCGGAGATATACCTGGAAGTTTTGCGTCCTTAATTTCTTTATTTAAATATTGT